TGTCCATGAGACAGGAAGACGAGTCAACAGACTGGAGTAAGGACAAAAAGGATGCCCTCTGTGCTATTCTAGGACATCTGTCTTCCTAGGGACAGCCAGGGACTATAAGTGACAGCTGCAGAAGAGTAGTGGGGAGCTTTCCCTAAGGAACTCAAGACATTGTGTCTTTCACTTCTCCCTGTCTGGCAGCATGAGCCTGTGGGAAAGTCAAGGGAATTTAGGAAATTTAGACACTTCACCTGCAGTCTAGGGAGCCAGGAATCTGGGCACTGTTCCAGATCATAGCCAGGATTCTGGAATTGTAGTATCTGTGCACTGCTGTAGCGTAAATCCCAGTCCCAGACAGACAGCTGCGGATTAAAAGAGTTCCCAGCTGGGGGCTGGGAGTATCCTGGAGTGTAGACTTGTGTATATGAGTTTAACTGGACAGAGGAAGCAAGAGAAAGGATGGTTACCACAATCCTCCCACATCTAGAGACAAATCATGACAGCCTCCCCTCTAATCCTAGGAACGATGTAGGGCAAAAGTCCCATCCTGAAAGTGAGAATAAATCTCCCTCCCCCCACCCACAGACCTCACTTCTCATAAAACAAATGAAGACCAAACTTCCCCATGGGAAAAAAACCACACATACACACACACAAGTCAAAATAGAGGTCACTGACCTGTCCGCTCTGCTTTCCGCGCTCCCAGGGGGTATTTCTCAGGAAGGTAAGGGTGTCAGGAACCCTGACACTGTCATGAAGAGCAAGAAGGAAAAACTCAGAGAATTCAAAATCAGCTGGAAACTGCTGGAGGAGCTGCCAGACGCAATCAAGGAAGAGGAGAAACACCGGGGACTGAGAAGGAGAAAGTAAGAGATTGGAAGGGATTCTTGGGGCCCCAAGAGGGATGATGATGAAATGAGAGGGGAATGGGGAATGCAGGGAATAGGGGGCACTATGGAAGTCAGGGAATGAAAATCTGAATGGAGAGTAGAAGGGGTTGTGGGGCTTCACTCTATTGGATCTTCATCTCAGCCTAACTTTGGGGCCCTTCTGACCTGATTCACTGCCAGCGGATTATACGAAAGAATATTCTCATTCTCTTACTTTTTTTTTTTTTTTTTTTGACGGGGTTTCACCATGTTGGTCAGGCTGGTCTTGAACTCCCGCCCTCAGGTGATCAGCCCGCCTTGGCCTCCAAAGTGCTTGGATTACAGGCGTGAGCCACCACACCCGGCCCTCTTAGTTCTTTAGTAATATCCCTCCAATGCCATCCCGAATTGTTCTCACCTCTTCACTGGCCCCAGTTCCCCCAAGCCGAGTCAGGAAGGGGTGTCCAGCTGCCACCCACTCTCGCTGCACTAGTGATTGGAAGCCAAACAGCGTTCGGGCTTCAGGAGCTGAAAGCAGCTGGACGAGTGAAGAGAGGAGGCCATTGAGATCACGATCACCGCGCTCTGGGTGATAAAGAGGAAGGGACAAAGAAGAGGGGTCCAAGAAACTAGGGCAGGAGAGAATGAGAAGAGAAACATGGCAAGGAGAAGTGAGAGGCACAGCGGGGAAAGGTTTGGGGTAGGCAGGATTGAGAGAGCACATAGAAGTGAAGAGAAAACAAAGACCTTGAATGATTCACTTCCTAGACTCCACCCGGATAGAAATACCCAGTTTCACATGTGAGGGGCAGAATCACAATTCTCAAACCAGCTTCCAAACTGCCCTTCCCACCCCAACCCCAGTCCCCATCCACTGATGGAAGGAAAGGAACAAAGGGGCTAAGACCATCCTAGTGTCTGGGACCCCATGTTGTAGGGGCTGAGGTAGCACTGAAGGAAGAGAGTAGAGCTGCCGGGCGCGGTGGCTCAAGCCTGTAATCCCAGCACTTTGGGAGGCCGAGGCAGGTGGATCACGAGGTCAAGAGATCGAGACCATCCTGGTCAACATGGTGAAACCCCGTC